TGGCGCTTTTCCACTGCGTGGTACGGCACGGCACGGTTCGGCCCGGCTCGGTTTGCGTTTCCACTGCAGTTCAGTACCGCTTTAGAGTGGGCGGGATTATTCACATGTTGTTATAGTTGTGCCGCCTCTACTACCACGACTCCTAAAAAAAACTTTTTCATTCCGCGTCGCCCCATCAAGCTCTCGCTGGATCCGCTCCTCTGCTATCAACGAGAGGAACGTCGGTTCTTCCGCAACTGACAACATAACTTTTTGGTTGTTAAAAAAAAGATGTGCTCGTTCAAAACAGTTGCGCTCGATTCTTTGCTGGCTATGCTGATTTAAATCTAGTGGTTCTTTTGTGTTTGTGTCGCAAGTTCAGTGACGCAGGTAGTGACGATTCTCTCAGGCCAATCCGTGATCAGCAGAGTATACACGTCACGTTTTGGTAATGGTACGGTTCACTTGGAACCCCAACCGAGGTGGTACTAAAAAAAAGTACCAAGTACTGTACCCAGTGGAAAACCCCCCAAAAGTGAACCGTACCGTGCCGTACCATGCAGTGGAAAAGTGCCAAAAAATACACAAAACTACATGCAGTTGCTTTAAGTAGATAGATAACTAATCTAATACCACGACATTCAAGTATTTATAAGTGTAATCGTCTAAAACATATTGCCAGATGAGTTGCCATACATCTGTAGCAATTAACATAATATTTAAGGGGATTTTTTTCAATATCTCGGCAGATTAAGTAAGTAAGGAATAATTGACCACTGGCCTTTGAATTATTACAAAAATAATGCACACGTTACACCTCGGGTGTGCATTATTTTTCTAATAATTCAACGGCCCGGAGTCAATTATTCCACTTATACCACGGTTGCCACACCTCGAGACATCGATCAGATGATATATTTCAAGATAGTTGTCAGGTTTTTGTACTTAAAACGCTACTGTGAGTAGGAATAATTTCTTCCGCATCTCATCCATCGCCTCCGTTGCTAATTCCAAAACGTAATTTTAGACCTAGTTACGGAGGCTTGAGCCGTTGATAGCAGATTAATGCAGTTAATAACTAAAGTTATTAGAGAGAGAGAGAAAGCATGTGAATTACCTCTGTGCGTCTCTCCAAAGTGTTCAGCTAATGTCTCTAACGTTACTAATAGTGAAACTTTAAGTTCATTTTCTTCACGAACAGCGCCCTTTTTACCTCGCTTGTGAGAAGTCATAGTTTGTAAATTGTAAAATTTACGGTTACTGATAAAATCGCCAGAGTAGCGCTAACAATATGAGTGCGTATGTTAACGTGTGTGCAAGCTGTAGGGAGAGCTAGAGCAAGAGAAATAGAGTATGTGCTTTCCATACATAATAAAACGTAATTTTGTGCCAAAAACATGGAAATGATCTGTCGTTTTTATCATATTGCTTACTATTTATTTGTTTGGCCAGTGTCGTTGTGGGTTTTGGTTATTTTGCTGTTGTAAGACCTTTGAAATACCGTAACTGAAATCGTTCGTTAGCCAATCAGATTCAAGCATTCAGCGGCCCCCGTAGTATAATATCTTTTTGTATACTTAAGGCAGATTCAACCAAAAACATAAAAAAAATTAAATAATAAAAATTAATAGTGTGAAAACATCAGAATTATTTGACTGTTTGAATCTTTTTTTTTTCTGAAGATATTTTCTTAGATTTCTAAAATCTTTTATTTTTAATGTAGGCTACCTTAGAGATGTATTATAGCTAAAAATCAATACTCATTATTTACCTATGAGTAGTTGTGGTACTTTTTTTTTTTTTACAACCTTATGACCAATTTCCTTTTATTAGTCACATCACATCACAAAAAGACTGAAGACCATATTTGGAAGTGGAAGTACAAACAAACAAATGCTTCTATGTGTAGGCTACATGCATACAATACCACTCAAATGTCCACCAAGGCTGCATTTATATGATCAAAAATACACTGAAATCAGTAATATTGTTTCATATTTAAATATATTCTAAAATGTAGGCTAATTTATTCCTGTGATGCAAAGTTGAATTTTCAGCATCATTACTTCAGTCTTCAGTGTCACATGATCCTTCAGAAATCATTCTAATATGCTGATTTGAGCTCAAGAAACATTTCTGATTATTATCAACACAGAAGTCATTTTTTTCTGCTTCATATTTATTTATGGAATCATTTAATTTATTTGAAATAGAGAACTTTTGTAACATCATAAATATCTTTACTGACATGTTTGATCAATGGAATCCATTGTTACTGAGTAAAAGCATTAATTTCTTTAAAAAAAAAAAAAAAAAAATCTTCCTGACCCCAAACTTTTAAACAGTAGTGTATATCATTATATCATCAAGTTTAAACTATTGCAACACTAACATTTATATAAAATATTACAGCTTATAGTATTTTATCCCTCTTTCTTCCTTCACCCATTCAGATCTCTGTAATACTGGACACAACAATACGAAACAAAAATTTGAGTCTATGATGTAACTAGCCTATGTAATTTAAGATAGTATCCCTAATGATGCAACAACGTTTACACACATCCTTGTAGAACACGCCTAGAAAGATTGAGTCACAGCATTGCAGGATAAGAACGTCCGGGGTTAACTGGATCTGCGGGTGGGGACACTGTTGTTTATGTGTGTCGTGTCACAATTTCCTGTTACTTACTGAAACTGCAAATCCTGACTGATTGTGTCTGTTATCTGACCTATCAGAAACCTCATGAGAATACAGTAATATTGTCTTAATAATTAATCTGCATATGAGCTGTTTTTTGTGTTCTCCTGACAAAAAGTGGCAGGGCAGCCGAGGTTAACATTTTAAACCAGCATTTTGCAGTAAGCTAAATGAGGAAGTTTCATAAACGCAGAAATTCTGCTCGACTTTCTAGACTCAATATTTGTTTAAGCGAGTGAATGGGGATTGCCTACCTAGACAAAACACCAAAAAACCCTCTCTGTTGAAGAATTTATTTTCATCATAACCCAATTGTGGACATTCTTCCATTTTTTTGTATTATATAATAAATAAAAAGAATAGAAAGAGGATAGAGCAAGCTAGTGTTAGAGGCCTTTTTGCTTTTGTTAATTGTATAATAAATAAAAAGAAAACAAATAGATAGAATACAAAAAGCTAGGGTTAGTTTTTTTTCAAGAAAAAAAGCAGTTAGTAAATGAATAGAGTGTAAGTCTAAAAGGGACATGTTTTTTTAAAGAATATGATTAGAATAGAGAGTGCTAGAGTTAGAGGGTCAAATAAAGATGGAAGAGATGTGTTTTTAGCCGATTCTTGAAGATGGCTAAGGACTCAGCTGCTCGGATTGAGTTGGGCAGGTCATTCCACCAGGAGGGAACAGTTAATGTAAAAGTCTGTAAAAGTGATTTTGTGCCTCTTTGGGATGGCACAATGAAGCGGCGTTCACTTGCAGAACACAAGCTTCTAGACGGCACATAAGTCTGAACTTAGGTAAAGGGGTGCAGAGCCAGTGGTGTTATTTATTTATAGTTATTTAGTTATTTTTTTAGTTATTTAGGCACTGCTTAAATAACTAAAAGGGGGTTTTGTATTTTTGTGACTTTACAAAATCTCATTTGAAATGTGCTGTATATTATATATTTGAATGTTCTAATCTAAAACATAAAAATAGCAAAAAATGTTTGCAGATATTTAGGAAACATAAGTTCACATACAAATTTTTCTGAAAAAAAAAAACAATGCTACATCCATTTATTCAACTTCAAAATATGCATTCTGTGTCGGAATGTCTGTTTTTGTCTTGGTCTGTGTGATTCCGCACACACACATTAAATTCAATAGTACTATGGCACCCCAGGTTGACCGTTAGCAAAAAACCACAGCATACTGCATCCATGGAAGCCAGTAAATGAACTCGCTTAGAGATCGCAGATTTTACCCGACCTAAAAAGCCTCGGCATCCATCTGAAAACTTCTATGAGACATATTAAAATGTGGATAAATCGCCTTCCGTTGTAAATTGCGCTTGTTCCTGTTGTGTGTCCTCAATCTGGCAACCTGCGTGAGCGAAGAGGCGTGAGAAACAACTCTCTCCGATATGTAGGGCCCAAGCACCGGTGACCCTATTGGAATTGCCCAGTTTCTTCTTCATCTAATCCAAAATGAATCACATTTTTGAGGGCCTAAACATGCTTGAAAACTCATGAAATTTTGCACACGCGAAAATTGACATCTGATATGGGTTTCAGAATTGGGTGTGGCAAAATGGCTCAATAGCGCTACCTATAAAATTTTAACGAAGTGCCCCTCGAGTTATGTTTCACATATATGTACGAAATTCGGTAGACACATGTAACACGCCAATACCTACAAAAGAGTCCCCTGGTATGAAGCCCAAAACCCAACAGGAAGTCAGCCATTTTCAGGTGTTGTTTCACTTACACACAACGTATTTCTGATTCTACTATAGCCTATTTAAATATCCTAAAACATGTGTTAAATATCCTAAAACATTTGATTTGTTTAAAACAATTATATACTGCTTTGGCCAGCGGAAAAGAAAGAGATCCTATCTATTCTAAAAAGATTCTCTGAGAAGTATTTTATACAATTTTGTTTTTACATTCATTTTGATATATTTATTCGAAAACAAGACAAGGACAGTGAATGATTTTTAGCGATGTAATGTACTGTACAAATAGCATTTTTAGTCCGCATGTCATATTTTCCTGACGTTTTGTACCTTTGACGGTGTTAAACATGGTGTCACGTGGATGGGAATATGCTTTGAAATGATATGCAGATGAGGTTATGCATAGTAAAACTAGGCGTAAAACTCCATATAAGGTGATTTTGGGGAGGAGACGCATGTACGCACAATCTTCCGCTGACAGGGATTTATAAAAGTGGACACTTCTTGCAGCCCCTGCGGTTTTGACCCCTCTGACCCCTGAATGTAATATTATGGGCTGTTATCTGCTCCTTGCAGTAGGGCTTGAGTGAGTCACTGCCTTTTCAGGGATCATGTCTCAAGATCAGTCTGAAGTGAGTGACCCTATGCACCTGAAGAGCTTTACTGCTCCTCACAGCACAAACAGTAACACTGTATGGAGGACGGAGACTCAACAAGACAATGTTGTAGGTAAGAAACTGTCTTAAATTTCTTTCAAGTACGAGTAAATCTCAAAGATGAGTGTACAAGCTGCGTGTACATTTTGCTACAGATTGGTGCCAGTGGAGACCGGGGCTAGTTGTCACGTGGGTTATATAAGTAACTGTAATGTTTTCAGTTTCATAAATTTGATCTGTCATGTGTAGTTCAAAACTGTTGCAAATTAGGATGATTTTTGGGAATTCCTTCCTACAAACTATATCTTAAATTGCATCATAGTATTGCAAAAGCAGACGGAAACCACAAAAATGACCACAAAAAAAACCAACTGCGTAATAAAGAATAAAGAAAAAATTGCAGAACAAAACAATGGGTTCATATTTTACCTTTTACATTTTTGTTGTTTTGATTGTTTTATGTTTTGTAATTTATTTGCTGAAAAGCCTGTAATAAGCTGTTTAATGGCATAATTTGTATTATGACAAGCCTTATAAATGTTTAGTAGTCAAGACCCTGAGAAATATTCACAAAAATGAATCAGTTAATTTTTACAAAACTATTTTTATGTTACTGGATGCCTCATGCAAAAAATACTATTAAAATTATGTCAAGCTGTCTTGAATTTATATATATATATATATATATATATATATATATATATCTATATATTCTATTATATATAAAAAATATGTT